CGGCGGAGGCGGCGGCGGCGGCGGCGGAGGCAACGGCGGCGGCAATCTCGAGCCTGGCGGCGGCAGCCCGCAATGGAGCAGGTGCAACGGCGGTGGTAGGTGTGCTAGTGGCATCGTCGGCGGCGAAGGTCGTCTGCTTGGTGACATAGCATCCGTCCCCGGCGTTCCGGCGGCCAGCAGCAACTGCTGCACGAACGGACGCGTCTCGGCGAACCTGAGGAACTGCTGCAACACCAGCGGTTCCTCTTCAGGCGAGCAAATGCTCCATCGGTCCAGCACCGGGCCGTTCTGCGAGTCCTGTCGACAGATCACGGAAGTTCGTTAGTTTCGAGTCACGTTCGTCGCGGATCCGAGGGGCCGGAACGAACGACTGTTACGAGGATCGTAGGCGTGAATGCCGGAAAAACTCCGCGACGGGAAAAACGATTGTGTGTCACGGTCGTACGTCGTCGAGGCGTTACATAAATTCCGCGGCGGTTTAATGAATCCTTTCCTGATCGGTCGCGACGGGACTTTTTACCCGAGATCGCGCTCTGTCAATCGACGGTGGAAATTTTGTTCGAAGCTCCTAGCTTTTCTTTGAATCCGGACGCTGCGTTTCATTGGCGCTAGCCTTCGGTGTCGAGCAAACGTCCAGCGATCACTCGACGTCCGAATAAAAACGCTTCCGCTGTTCCGCGACCGTGGAAGGCCGCTTACGTAATTCCGTCTTACTTTGTGTGGAACGATTAATAAGAACGGATCAATGAATAATCAAACTAATTTATTCTCTTTAGCAGCGCGCAATTAGTTCTACCTGAGTGGCCGCGCCGGGCACCGAGCCTCTGGCCCGATGACGAGTGAATCGCGAAATAATTAACTGTAAACAGTCAGCGCGGCACGCTTTTTACTTCCATTAGTCAGTGGAGGATGAGCGCGGGGAACGAACGGGAATCTATTTGTTCCACTGAAACGCAGCCAATGATCTTCGGGTGATCACTTTCGTTATTAATACCGCGACAACGATAAGGACACGGGGGTATAGATTTTTCGCCGCGCAATTGAACACGAGCCCCGCTCTCTAATCTTCGGAATCGATTCGACGTTGAACATGGCAGCGTATTATGTTATCTATCGTCGTGGCCAAGTTCGGTGTCGGTCGGTGACGTTGATCGCTCCGCCGCGGCGGGAACTGGTTCGCAAAAGTGTGACGGCAATGAATCGAGCTAAGGCCGTCCCGTGGTCCGGCCGCGCCGGTCGGCCGGGTTTCTCTTTCGCGTTCTTGATTTCGATACACCTGTTCTTTCGCGGCATCGGCATCGAAAGTCAAGAGCACTTCTTAGCGACCGATTAACGGGCCGTGATAATATTTTTCGCCGTTGTTGCCGCGGCGAGCGCCACGGCCGAGGATCGGCCGATTCGCTCGCCGCCGATCGGACTTTCTAATTACTATAATAATAAGCGAACGGAAGTTTCGTAACGTGTTTATCACCGGCGATCGCCGATCCTCGCCAATCGAAAATCATTACCCGGTTAATTAACGACTCGGTCAGATAAGTTCAGCACACTCCACGACTTTTATAAGCTTCTGGTATCGGTCGATGATTCCGCGGACCGACTGTTTCTAACTAAATCGTTTCACAAACTACCTCTAAATTACTGCGCTCGGCCAGCGCGTTCACCGCGAGGCGGTCAGATAAATCTCACGGAATCCTGGTATCCTATCCGATCGAACGGAAACATGGGAAATCGACTATCTTGATAATCCGAGAATTCTTTTAACGAACATTGTCCGATGGTTCGGCGTGTAATTTCTACGGAGGAATTTTATCTTCGATTTCTAGCGATCTGGAAACCGATCGGTGGTCCAGTTCCGAGGGTTTCCGCTCGCGCGTCACGTATCGGGCCTCGGAGTCACGGGTTCCTTCTAAAATCGGGGTGGCCGGCGTATATAGATCGGCCGTAAGCTTGTCTCTCGCGGGCTTGTATATTTACGCATACCGGCGGGCTCGACGTAACGCAGGACGCCCAGCGCCGCGACGCTTTTCGCCCGCGTCCCGTGTATATTTCTTCAAGCACGCACACGCGGCCGCGAACGACATACGGTTAGGCACCCCCTCGCCTCGCCCTCGCGCGCTCGGCCGCGCCGCGGCGTCAACTCACGACCGACGCCACTCCAAATCCGATCGAGCGCCGAAACCGTTGCGTTATTTTTCGCGCCGTGCTGACCGCAGACCCAAAACACGCGACTCTGTAACACGAGACAACCGCCATTTTCTCTTTGTCGCGCGGAACCGAGGCCGGAGAACAACGCCGCGGCCACCCTACGCGATCCGTCACGATTTCCGTTCTACGGTTCACCATAACCGACGAATTATCAACAAATATCCTTTATTCTTCAATTTTCTAACTTTCTTCTACGCTTCTTACCATGGAAATGATAAATTATCGGCAGTTTCTCTAAAATATAGAGAGGATCAGTTCTAAAGCTTGAAGACACGTCGATAGAAAAACAAGTTGTTCCTCTTGAATTGTCTACTCCGATTCTACTTCTTTGGAAACAAGTTACACAGTGGATAAGAAAGTAATTAGTTTCTCCGGAATGTGGAAGAAAGGATCGGTTCCAGGACAAGCGGACGCTAACCCCTCAGAGAAGCAAGTACAACTCAGCTGCAGAGATTTAACACCGTCCCGTCAAGTGTCTTTTCAAAACATTGTTAATCAATTGAGGGGACAGGAGGAGGAAGAGCGGCGGAAACTCTCTAATTCCACAGCTGAACGGCGAAACACGTCGATGCGTTTCTTGCCAGCGCGGAGAGCGACGTTTCTCCAAAATCTTTTGTTCGATCGAACGTGGTTTCCGAGTGAAAACGAAGAGCAGTCGCGGCCAGGGAGGAGGGGGGGATTTCTCGGGTAGCAACGTGTCGCCGTGCGGAGTTGAAAAATGCCGAGCCCTCCTCCCGCGATTTGCAGTTAGGCCCGCTAAATATAATACCGTTCGACGAAGCCTAGCGCCGTGACGCATTTCGAATCCGTCGATCGCGCCGCTATTATTCAACGGAGAAACCCGACGTTCTAATTGCGACACGGCCGATCGCCGCGGACGCACGATAATGAATTACCGAACGGGGGGACTACAGTTATGGTGGGCCCCGCGGGGTTATCCGTTGAAAATTATGGTAATTGCCGTGCAACACGTAGCGTGACACTCCTCCGGGCTGCAATTTCATGGTTTTTATCGCCGTAGCGGGGACCGACGCCGGCCCGGCTGTTATATCACTTTCTATGACCAATGTATTCATCGGCCGACTCGGAATCACGAAAAACGAGCCTTCTCCCGGCCGCGAGAGTCACCGAGCGCGTTGCCGGCTACCGTTCCTACGCGTCCTCGGCTTATCCCCGAGCTGCCGTCGCCTATCTGCCGGCGCAAACCGCTGTCGTTACCGGGATTACGATAAATCTATCATAGTTGGATTTAATAATCGGCAAAAACCGATTAACTATGTAATAAATTCGATTATACGCGCGTGTATTACGGCGTAGACCGGTCCGAGTTCTTTTTAATCACGGTTTAATTATGCCCGCGCGAGCCCGGATGGCCGCGAAAC